GTCTTTCTGCAGAAAAGCAGAAATATACAGAGTTCTCTAGCACCGTATAAGGCAGGCATTAAACATATATTTTAGAAAAACTTCTTCAAAACCAATTTTGATTTCACAGTGTTTGGCAATAGCTCCAATACTAATGGTAAGTCACTTGATTCCTGATATATGTTTGAATATGTGTGTATACATACCCGTGTTAATCTAAGTGCATAATGATGCGGCTAGTTATGGTAGCAAAAGCTTCTTTTCTTATCCTTACTAAGCACATGTTTTAACTCAAGTGTGATTTCCATAAAAAATTTAAAAGGTAATGTATTGATTTATCAAAGGGCTTTAAGTAAAATGTAAATCCTACTTATTCAGAAAATAATAACCATTCAAGGTAGTATTACATTTTGGATCTGGATAATAGTCATATCACAATTTTCTTTCTATTAGGAATTCATGAAAGGAGTCCTGTTTTCCATAGAAAGCCACAAAATGTGTAAGAAATATTGAGAAGTGAGTCTTATTTTACCAGAAATGAAAATAGCAATTGAAATGCTAAGATGGAGACAATTTTAAAATTACCCACATTTTACCCAACTTTCCTACTACTATCCCATGCAAAATTATGTCTACTGAGCACATTTTTATTAGATAAGGTAGTCCATGGAGCAATGCTGAGCTAAGAAACTAACAATACACAGTTATTCCAAGTTGTCATCATGTCTGGAAGTTATGGATAAATAGTTGGTGCAGGACACCTAACTTTCTGCCTTCTAAAGATTTTAACAGTAATATTTGGTCATGTAATCAAGCCTCCATTAATCAAAGTTAAATGCAGATTAGTTTTTTATAAAAATCCCATTGTGTTTTCTGTAAGAAACATAACTGTGAATTTTCTAGAAATAGCCCTTGAAATCCAACCTGAATTATCTTACTTCTTTTGTCCTGCTTTCAAAATATGATCAAATTTAGAACCTCCTTTTGTTAGCGATTTCTAGAAAATAGTTTTATTCCTCAGAACCCAAAGATTAAGTATATGTCTTCAGAACTGCATATTTCCTTATTTGGAAAATGTTTCCATTTCCATTATTTAAGTACTGATTCTTCAATTAGTGGCAAAATTAAAATAATTGAAGGGTTCTCAATAAACAAGTGGGGAAGTTTCCAACTGCCTTCCCAGAAACCTGGAAGAAATGCAACCACATGTAGAACCAGTAGAGGTAGCACCATTTTTACCAGTGATGAATGACTAGAGCTCTCTGCTCAAGAAATGATGACCCCCCCAGAACTCTCTTTCAGGGATGGAGGGAAGTGAGGAGCTTGCAACCCAGACAAAATGTGAGACTCAGCTAATTGGTGTGGTTTTGATGATGCCACAATTCTGCCCAAAATCCTTGTAACTAGCAAGTTTGCCCTGTAGATTATTGAATTACTCCACTGATCATGCATTATTTAAAGGGAAATGCTATTATTATAGAAGCCATCTGTTTAACCATTGGAATTCTGTCTGTTGGCCAACTTTCAAGATACAGTAGTGCACTGTGACTACACATGCGATAAGACAAGTCAAAGCCTACGTTAAATGGCCAACTTTTATAAATGCCTGTTCACTCTAATGACCAAGTGAGTGTGTAGAGATACTTGATGATGCCAGTAGGACAGAACTCTGAGACTGTACCTAGCTGCAAAAAGAGCTATCCCAGTCACCTGTCTTTTGTTTTAACATCAAGTGCAGGAGTGGGGAACCTTTTTTTCTGCCAAGGGCAGAAATATATGATGATATTTATAACATCATATGCGGGCCTTACAAAATTATCAGCTTAAAAATGAGCCTACTATATTTGGTCAAACACTAAATTTACTCACCCCTAATGCCATGGCAGGGCTAGACCAACTGATTTTGAGGGCCTCATATGGCCCCCAGGCTAGACCTTCCCCACCCTTGAAGTAAAGAAAAATGTTTTGAGCATCTTGGGGAAGCTCAAATGATGAATAAAAAATAAATTTTCATCTTCTGAGTTAGAAAATATTCTAACCTCTTTCCTGAAGACAACATAAATGGCTTCCAACCATATTGAACATTTGGCCCGGATGGGTTTTCTTCTGCATTTCTTTACTTGTTATAGATTCTTTGGAATAGAAAGAACCATAGCACCATGTACTGTGCTCAAAACAGGAATATTATCCTTGCATCTCTCACAGGTGTTCATACCACCTTTACTTAACTACTTCCAGCAATGGGAAATTCATTACTTTTAAAAGAAGTTTGTCCCATTTTTAAAACTTTTGAGTCAAAATTGTTAGAAAAATTTTCTCTTATATTAAGCCAATATTTGTTTCCCGTTCACCTACCAAGGTCTGATTCCACCCACTGGAGCAGAATTGCATAGTGCCTAATGGGAAGTTTTTAAAGGAAAGAATGAAACAATTCACTCTATCACATTTAAAAATTAGTCATAATGACAAGAGCTGCAATTTAGAGGTCATTAAAATCCCTTTTTTTCCCCAAACTTGATACTGGAGCAAATTATGTTACTGCCTTTCTAGTAAACCACACTGTATTGGGTTTCTAGTGTTAGCCCATAGCAATAAGTATCTTTATTTTGTTTCTGGAAAAAGAGGTAACATTTGAAGATAAAGGGCAAAACTTGGACCCTCAACTGTGGCCTCTCAGTTGACAAGAAATTATTTTTTATTAAATATCTTGATATAGAACCAGAAACCAAGCCTATAGGGCACTTCAAAGGACTAATTAAACTTTAAAAGCCAATAGATAAATACTGTTATATTCATATATCGCCCAATGAAGTACAATCAGTCCATTGTAGACACTATGAATAGACAAAGAAAAACATCTTTCTAGGATTGTGGTAGGATAACTGATAGCTGCATTTATAGCCAAATCCAAATCTTTGTACCACTATTTCAACATTTTTAAAAATATGGACATAAGGTACTTTCTTTACAAAACAGCTTTTAAAGAGTCCTAAATTTATCTTTTCCTAAATTCTTGATCTGTGGACTAAAAGAGCACAGCTATTTTATAGACTGAGTCTTCTACACAGCTGATCTTCCATGGCAAGTGGAAACCCTGCTGAGGCACCAGTGGGGGCCAGCTGCCTGGTTCCCCCAAACCCCTCAATCACAAGGAGCCCATAGTGTTTGACTCCAGTTAAAGCAGCAAATCCCACCCAGAGAGACCACAAACTGAACCCTCACTGAGCTACTACCCTCTGCTGCCCTAAGAATGATAATACACCTGCCTTCTGTGAAGAAGCATCCCCAGGCTCCTGTGCTAAACACCAGGAAAACAATTTGTGTTCTCAGAGAATGCCACCAACAGTTGGCCCTTTGGGCCACAAGGCTGCCAGACTAAGCTGGTGGTGGGCCATTACCCTGGGAGTTCAAAATATACATTGTGGATTCTGACTTTCAAAACTCCATCCTAAAGAACAGTGTCATTATTATGCAAATGCAGGCTTTTTAAATGTAAAATATAGTGCTGTCTCCTGTGTCAGGAGTTAAGATCCAATATACCTCAGATTGATTAATTGGATTCTTCTAGATCAATGGTTTACACATTTTCCACCATGAAATCTGAATGTCAGTGGAGAAAACCAGCCCTCCTTCCCCCCTCCCCCTCCTACTTCCCAAGGGAGTTAAGGGACAGGAGAGAAAGCTGAGGCAGGGTCCCCCGGCCTTTGCCTGAATCAGGGCACTTTTACTTCTGTCTGTTTTATATATTGGTGTATACGCAAGATTCGTTTTAATAAGAGTTCTACTACGACAAAAAGCTTACAAAGGATCCAGGTACATTTTAAGGTCCATGTAAGCTTGTTTTGCCCTTTCTTTTCATTCTAGAGCCAGGAAAAGTGTATTCAAATCAAAACAAAATGAAACCAGACCAAAACCTACTTGCCAAGTAAAGAGGTCTAATTGATTTGCAAATATCAAGAGAAATTTGACTCATCGTGTTCCCTATGGGCAATCCAGGTCACAGGAAAAGTGGACGTTTAGTTCATTCTGTCTCGGTCTAATAGTACTCTATAAGAAGACAAAATTGATTGTTCTGGTCTCTCTGGGGTGATAGGAGAGAGAGCCCTATCACATTGGTATTGTCGTCAGTTCCAAGTTCCAAGGTTTCTGGATGCAGTCAACAGGAACACTGCTTCTTCACAAACCATATAAGTTCCTGGGAATGGGGTGCTCAGAGAAAGCAACCCAATATTTATTTAGGACCTACTATGTGTCTAGTGGTACTCTAAGTACTTTCCATATATTATCTCATGTAATCCTCAAACAACCCTCACAAGAAAGATATCATTAATCCCACATTACAAATGAGTAAACTGAGGCTCAGGAAGCTTCAATGACTTGTCCAGAGTTGTGCAACAGGTCTTCCAGGCTCTGTGAGGCACTTGGGCTTGGCAGAGAGAAGATCTGGGTTAAACTCTTGGTTCTACCATTTACTGCAGAATGACCTATAGCAAGTCCTTCCCAACCCCGAGTTTCAGCCTCCACACCAGGAAAGTAGGAGTCTTTCCTAGATTTAAAATCTCACCGATGTTCATACAGTGGAAGCAACTAAGCAAAAAAGCAAATATTTGAGCCATCCTGCATATAAAAACGAAGCAAATTTTCTAAAAAGGTAAAGGAAACTGAATGCATGGTCCTCTTTTATTAATATCCCTAGCAGCCTCTCAAACCAATATATAAAGAATGGGTAGGATTGGGCCATACAGTTTTTTGGCTGAAGGTTGCTGAGAACATCAGGAAAACTAGCACAAAGTATGTTGTAAATGAGTGTAAATGAGTGTGATACAGGTTCCTGGAGACATACAAGAATCCAGAAGGATCTATAGGAACAGGAATTGTTGGAGAAGCTTCAAGAGAGGTTCACATACAAATGTGTGGGATGACTAGGCATGGGGAGAGGAGAGTCTTCAGAGTCTAGGTGGAACCATGAATTTGGAATATTCCACTCTAAAGCCAGGCCACTCTGCATTTCATTTGTACAGACAAGCCCACAGGGTATGGCTCCAACAGTCGGAGGGCAATTCAGACAGGCATTGTGGACGAGTGCTGCTTCCGAAGCTGTGATCTGAGGAGACTGGAGATGTACTGCGCCCCACTCAAGCCTGCCAAGTCAGCCCGCTCCGTCCGTGCCCAGCGCCACACTGACGTCCCCAAGGCTCAGAAGGTAAGCCAGCTGGAGTGGGATCCTCCCATCCTCAAGAGATCTGTGTCTTATATGTGTGGGTGGGTCAAACAGTAACTTAGTCCCCATAGTCTCCTGTCTTAGAGGTCAAAATAGCTCCATTCTCACCCTAGATGTCCATCCCTTTGGTCGCTCCGCATTGCAAATTCTCTTTTGCACTGCTCTGGACAATCAGATAACCAGAAGGTAGTGAAGAATGGTAATTGCTACCTCATCAGGTCGCTCTGAGAATTAACTTACTGCACATACAGTGCTTTCCATGTGTCTGCACAACACAGCTGTTGGGCAAGTGTTAACATCTGTCATAATTGTAATTAAGAACAAAACCTGGAAACTTTCAGGTTCTGGTATTCTGCAAAGGTGTAAAAAAACAACTCTAAAATAGGAACTATTTGAAATTCACATCCAGTGGCAAACATAGTTAAAGAAAAACATTAAAAATAGAAGTTTCTGTTTGGCTCAAAGAATACCTAGAAATTTCTAATGACCAAAATTTGCAGGTGTCTTTTTTAAAAGCTGGATTTTAAACAAACCTTAGAGGTACTATCTCTGCCATCAAGAGCATGTAAATCATCTGATGCACGTTTGTCACCTGATAAACTTTTGTTGAATGAATGAATGAGTGAATGAGTAAACAAGTGAATATAAGTGATTAACATTTTAGTCATGAGGTAGAAAGAATGAGAACTAAAGAGAAGGTGAAGAATGAAGGAGAAAGAGAGGAAGGTTGAGTAAGGAAAGTGTTTTCGTGGGGATTCTGTTGACAAAAGGAAAGATCAAACAAAACAAAAAAATACCACCTGTGGTTTTAATCTTTGGAGCCAAGACTAGCATAGTGCAGAATGCCCAAGATGAGAAACCAAGATGTTTACAATGACACCTTTGCTGCTTCCTGGTCGTAAACTCCAGCCGAGACTGTAGGAGGACCATGGGGGTTGAGCAAAGATGTGACTCCTTGATGGGAGCTACCTTAAGGGGTAGAAAGAGAAGGGGCACAACCTGGTGTCCAGAGAACACAGCAGCCAATGGTCAGGGAGCAAGCACCACAGAAATTACTTTTAGGTGAATGAGACTGGAAAGTTGTGCTGGGGATGGTGAAAGCAGGTTAATTCTCTTTCTTCCCAGATGACCCAGTGCCTCTCAATTTCTAGTTGGTTAGAGGGTGGGGGTCTAAGATGAGCCCCAAAGTTCTGGAATGTTGGGTCTGATGACTGAGGTGTAGACACCTGTCCAACACCAGTGCTGTCTCCCGCATCCCATGGAGCCCAGGCATTCTGGGCTAACTCTAAGGCTGTCTTCCGGGACACCAAGGGGACCACCTGTTCTCAATGCCATTATTTTTGTGATGTTTACAGTATCAGCCCCCAACTACCAACAAGAAAAAGAAGTCTCAGAGGAGAAGGAAAGGTGGGCCAAAGAAACACCCAGGAGGGAAACAGAAGGAGGGGACGGAAGCAAGTCAGCAGATGAAAGGAAAGAAGAAAGAGCAGAGGAGGGAGACTGGAGCTAGAAACTGAACACAGAAGCAAAAAGGAAAATGGAGAAGAGCAGAGAGGGGCAAAGACGATGAGAGAGAAGCAGACAGCGATACAGAAAAGTGGGCAATGCTAGAGGAAATGAAGAACAGTAGCCTAGTGGAGCTAGCTAATACCCGTGATGGAAGGATTGAAGGAGTCCGTTATAGAATGTGGCTATTAAACATGGAGAAAATGGAAATGAAGCACGTAATCCCCAAGAAAGCCCAAAGAAAGGCAGTGGCAAGAATGAAAAAAGAACAAATATTATAAAAGAGTCAAATTTCCTGCTCCCAAAAAACAATCAAATAAAAAAATTAAGATTACAAAATCAAGGCTTTTGTATGCATTTAAAAATTTTGTGTGAATCTATAATAGAAGAATTGCTCATGTCAATATATGTCCAGAGTAAAATATTAGCCCCAAATTCTCCACAAGACTGAATTGTGTCATAGAAATTCCCAGATTTCCTTTCCTGCAATGAACTTGGAGGCTGCATGTCTTGGTTTGGGCCAAAGGGCATCCAGTATTTGCCTAAAGGCCTGTGAGGCCTGTGAGGTAACCTATGAGAGAAGGTCATTGAACCTTTTTTTTTATAAAAGATGTATTAGTTTGTTAGGGGTGCCATAACAAATACCACAGACTAGGTAGCTTAAACAGCAGAAAGTTATTTTCATATACTTCTGGAGCCTGGAAGTCTAAGATCAAGATGTTGGCTGGGTTGGTTCCTTCTGAGAAATATTAGAGAAGAATATGTTCCAGGCCTTTCTCCATGGCTTGTAATTGCCCTTCTTCTCCCTGTGTCTTCACATCATCTTCCTTCTATGCATATCTTTGTGCCCAAATTTATCCCTCTTATAGAACAACTAGGGGCCCAGTGCACAAAATTCATGCACTGGGTGGGGGGGGGTGGTCCCTTAGCCCAGCCTGCCCCTATCACAGTCTGGGACCCCTCAGGGGATGTCCTACTGATGGCTTAGGGGAGCAGGGAGGCGGGCCTAAGCAGCAGTCTGGCCTCCATCTGCAGGAGTTGATCGGCAGGCCAATAGGGCTGGCTCCC